TTGTTTACTTTGGAAATGATATATAGAGATTATGATCAAGAGTTCTTACCTCAGATGTCTTGGGATTGTCATAGATTTCTGAAATTTCACATGGCCTTTCAGTTTCCTAAGTTGGGGGGGGGAAAAAAGAAGAAAAAATAAGTGAATGGTCATAGTGTTTAACATAATCATCATTAAAATCAATGATTCTTCAACCTGGGTGCATATTAGAATCACCAGAAAGCCTTAAAAACAAAACAAAATAAACAAATAAAACTCCCCTCCAACAAAATAAAATAAAACAAAACCAAGAAACATCATTGTGGATTACTTCCAAAATAATCTAGGGTTGAAAGTATGGTGAATGGGTGGGGAATAGAGATGGAACAACATTGGCTGTGAGTTCGTAATTGGACTCATATTATTCTCCCTATGTTAGTGTATGTTTAAAGTTACCCATAATAAAAACCTGCTTTTATTGTTGTTGTTGTTGTTGTTAAAGATCAACACCACAGCTCTATCATCCAGAGATTCTGATTTAATTGGTTTTGGTGACTGGTATTTTTTCAGCCTCCTAGATGATTTTAAAGTGTATTGAAGGTTGAGAAACTTACTTAAATAAATGATACCACCAACAACCACATTACCTCTTAATGTTTAAAGTTTACAGCTTGTCAACATATCTTTACAAGTAATGTAAAAGTGTTCATCATGCATGATCTCATTTCATCTTTACAACTTTGCCTACCTCTTAAAATAGGGAGGATAGTTTTATGACTCTTGTTTTGGAGTTGAACTAACCGAGACATGGAAGATGTTAAGTCAGGAACATGTTGTTTAATTTCCATGGATTTGTATGGTTTCCAAAGTTTCAATTGTTGATTTCTAGTTTTAATCCACTGACCTGAGAAAATGCTTGAAATGATTTCAATTTTTAAAAATTTGTTGAGACTTGATTTATGACCCAATATGTGGTCTATGGCAGAGAACGTTTCATGTACTGATGAGAAAAATGTATATTCTCTTGTTGTTGAGTGAAATGTCCCATATATATCCACATATATCCACGAAATCCAACTGGTCTAAAGTATAGTTTAGGTCCTGTGTTTCTCTGTTGCATTGTCACCTAGATGATCTGTCCAATGCTCAGAAAGTAGTGTCCAGGTACCTGACTATTACTGTATTGAGGTCTACATCTCTCTTTAGGTGTAATAATGTTTATGTATCTGGGTGCACCAATGTTGGGAGCATGTATATTTATGATTGTTATATCTTCTTGGTAGATAGATCCCTTTATCACTATTACATAATGGCCTTCTCTGTCCCTTTTTATTGTTTTTGGTTTAAAGTCTGTTTTATCTGATATAAGAATAGCTACTCCTGCTTGTTTTTGGTTTCCATCTGCTTGATGTATCTTTTTCCATCCTTTCACTATTAGTCTGTATGAGTCATCACAGGTGAGATGGGTTTCTTATAGGCAGCATATAGTTGGGTTTGGTTTTTTAACTCATCTGGCCACTCTATGTTTTTTGAGTGGAGAGTTCAAGCCATTTACATTTAGGGTTGTTATTGAAAGGTATTGTCTGTCATTTAATTGCTTTTGTGTGGTTGTTTTAAATATCTTTTGTTCCTTTCTTTTCCTGTTGTTGTTTGTCTTCAGAGTTCTTTGTTTTTCTGAGGTGGTATGGGATAGGTTTTTTTCTCTAACTCATTTGGCTATGTGCTCTACTGGTGGGATTTGTTCTTTCTCATGTATTCATGGTGGTGATTATTGTTTTTTGAATTCCAGATGCAGGTCTCCCTTGAGGATTTCTTGCAGAGCTGGTTGTGTGGCACTGAATTTCCACAGTTTTTATTTGTCTGGGAAATACACTATTTCTCGTTCATATCTGAAGGATAGCCTTGCTGGGTATAGTTTTCTTCTGGCAGTTTATATGTAGAAGAATGAAACTAGACCTGTACTCTCACCACATACCAAAATCAAATCAAAATGGGTTAAAGACTTAAATATAAGACCTAAAACTTTAAAACCCTGAAGAAAATAGGGGAAACATTCTGGGATGTAGGACTAGGCAAAAACTTTATGAATAAGACCCCAAAAGCACAGACAATGAAAAAAAAGTAAATGAGATTATGTCAAACTAAAAATCTTCTGCACAGCAAAGGGAAAAAATCAACAGAGTGAAAAGACAACCGACAGAATGGGAGAAAATATTTGCAAACTGTAAATCTGACAAGGGATTAATATTCAGAATATACAAGGAACTCAAACAGCTTTACAGTAAAAATACAAATAATCCAATTAAAAAATGGGCAAAGAGCTGAATAGATATCTCTCAAAGAAGGACATACAAATGGCCAATAGGCATATGAAAAAAAATGCTCAACATCACTAATCATCAGGGAAATGCAAATCAAAACCACTTTGAAATATCACCTTGTCCCAGTTAGATTGCCTATTATCAAAAAGAATAAAAAATTCTGGAGAGGATGTGGAGAAAGGGGAACCCTTCCACACTGTTGGTGGACTGTAAATTAGTGCAGCCATTATGGAGAACAGTATGGAGGTTCCTTAAACAACTGTAGATAAAACTACCATATGATCCAGCAATCCCACTACTGGGTATGTATCCAAAGGAATGGAAATCATGATGTCGAAGGGATACCTGCACTCCCATGTTTATCACAGCTCTATTTACTATAACCATGCTATGGAACCAACCTAAATGTCCATTGATGGATGACTGCATAAGGAAAATGTAGTATATACACACCATGGGATACTACTCAGCCATTAAAAAGAGTGAAATTCTGCCATTTGCAGCAACATGGATGAGCCTGGAGAAAATTACATTAAGTGAAACAACCCAGGTGCAGGAAGAGAAATACCTCATGTTCTCACTCATAAGAGGGAGCTGAATTAATAAATAAATAATAAAGAGAGAGAGAGAGAGAGAGAGAAAGACACAATAGTCACAATAATGTGTTGAACAGAAGAAGAGAACAGAACTGTGGTTACTAGAAGTGGAAAGGGGGAGTGGGAAATAGAGAGGGGTTAATGAGAAATTAGTTAACAGACCCAAAGAATGATTATGTATTGTAATGAAGAATAAGCTAACTATTCTGATTCGACCATCACATATTGTACACAACTTTTGATGGTCAACTTTGTACCTCACGGATATGTATAATCAATTGTGCTTCAGTAAAAAAAAAAAGAGAAGAAAGAAATTGAAGAAGACATAAGTAAATGAAAAAATATCCCATGCTCATGAATTAGG